GAGGCAAAGCCCATAAACAAGTTCCGTGAATCTGGGAGATGTGTGTTAGTTTGTTTGTGTGTGGTTTTCTAACAACAGTTCTCATCATCGACAACGGGTATTATTTTTGTTATAGTTTAACGTTGCCTCACACATGCCTCTGCCTCATGTTTATTAGTTAGTGACTCAAGGCTGACATGTGTCCATACATATATAAGTAGCTACATTTTCATGTATATACCCCAGCTTTTGATTTTGTCTTTATACTATTTTATTGTCTATCACTTGCTGAGATTGATAACTTGCACCTCCATTAGTTTGGTAAAGGGTGTAGGTTGTTATAAAAATAGTCTGATATATCTAGATGAAAATATTGTAAACCTACTTTGTAATAGAGTCTGCACTACACTACATTGACAGCTCACCTAGATCTGTCATAACAAGACTGATCAATGCAGGATCACTTTGCTAGAGTTGATTATCTCCAAAATGAAGTTGGTAGATAGGGCTGAGATGCTGATCTGGATCTTGACAAATACACTGGTGTGAGAAAGTTATGTAAAAGTAAAAGTAGGCTGTGGTTTAACACTGAGAATCAAGGAACACAAGGAAGATGCAGTGAAGGCAGGGAGCTCCTGGGACCCTCCCAGAATGGCCCTGGGGAATTTCCTGGGTAGCTTTGGCAGCCCAGTGGGACCTTCCTGGGAATGACTAATTTTTCTGATTGCACATCATATCAATCAGGTGATTGTAAAACAAAGTATATATTCTTTTTTCCACTCACTCTTTCTTTTCCTCAGTCAGTTCTTTCACAACTAAGGATCTTATGCCTAGACTTTCACATACACTAGATATATGCAAATAAAAAATGTGGTTTGAGATCACGTGCTCACAGACTTTCCGCAGGGACAAGCACCCTTCACCACGGGCATGAAAGGGTTCCAGCCAAGCCGGGAGAGGTATGATTCGTACACAAACAGCATAATTTCAGCCACCTCGACAGCCTGACTGGAATACTTCAAATATTATAAATATATAGTTTGTGATAGATTAACTAAAATTTTACCAATGTTTTGAGAAATAGCTGGGATGGTTTGTGCCCAGTTTGTGTTACAATTGACGTACCAGTACCTACCTACATTTCATTTTTTTGTACTTTTACTTTCATTTTTCCAAGTCACATGACCAGTCATGTGACACAACACCTGACCAGTGTCTAGACTCACCATGTGACCAGTCACATGCTAGACATCGGACTTTAAACTTTATTTACAACTGTACAGTACCTCATATATTTTAATATATACAGGAGCAATACATGGGGAAGGACTCAGTGAGTCCTCCTGTTGTCTAGCACAACAAACCCATTGACACCTGAGGGGTGATCCCTCATTCTCTCTTCTCTCTTGCTTGTCTGAGTTGTGCGCCAGAGTAACAAACTCTTGGTCGTTACAGTTTGAGGCTGACATGTTGCTGGTTCTTTATAAACTAAAAGTTTACCAATGT